GTGAAGCAGAGAACACGGGGGAAATGTTACACATTAGGGTGTGATTTGTAGTTGAACTGATCCGTCTCATAAATAACGTGATGCTCAGGTTAGATGTCACACCCCCGGCTGCTGCAGAGACTCTGCAGCTCAGTGTTCATACAGACAGCTGCATGAGAGAACGGACTCGACAGGTGATCGAGTCTGAATACGAGATAAAACCTAGAGAAGTGTATCGATCACTGCGTGTCACTCTGCTCTCTGAGCTCTGATTGGCTGGATGTTTTATTTTTTATCAGTTTCTTTGTACGTTCTGTTCTTCTTTGTAAGTTATCACCATGTCTAAGTGTGTGTGTGTGTGTGTGTGTGTGTGTGTGTGTGTGTGTTTCCATGCTGTGTGTCTGGCAGTGATATCGCACGGCTCTTGGATGTGGTTACTTCTCTGGTGTCCTGCTGCTACCGTTTAGTGAAAAGGTTCTGCTCGTTACTCTCTTTATGGAGCTTTTTATTGAATGAATGTTGTTTTTTTTTTACTTTAGTGTACTTAAAGTCTGACAGACTGTTAACAGAAAACATTTTAATAAACAGTTCCTTAACACTTCTTTAAAACATTGTAATGGTTTTCTCAATTCAACTCCAAACTAGAAATTCAACATCCACTAAGAGAGTCTTCTTTCCACTCCTCTGCAAATATTTGTTTTTCAAATAAACGACAACAAAAGTTTCCAGGATTCACTTTCAGCACATGTGTTCTGCTCTTCTGGGATCAACACTCAGCTCAACTCCCTATAAATAATGGTATAACGCAAATTCTTGCACCTCGTCCTAAAAAACTCCCTGAGCCTTGAGTAAGTCTGATTTGAAATCCTCTCTCAGTTGAAACCCAGCTGGAAGACTCACGCTAAGATGATTCAAAACCAACAAGTTAATAATGAGTACATCTTGACTTTAAAGGTCACACATTCTGCACAGTACACGTCACCATGTTCCTCTAACTCTAACATGTGTCTCTAGTCTGTCTACAAACCCCCCAATGATGAGAAAAGTCCATCCTCTCCGTCTTCTGCCTGCTCCACTTTTCAGAAAATGTGTGCTCAAACAGGCCGTTTGGTGATTTTCCCTTCATGACATCACAAAGGGCAGTAGCCCCTCCCCCAGGTGGGTGACACTCCCACAGCTAGGTGTTTGTTCTGCCCTCTGAGTCTGCCTTCTCACCGTAAACAATAGGACATGGAGCGAGAAAGACAGAGTACACCCAAGTCCTTCCAGAGAGGGGGTGTGGTCAGACACAGCTCATTTACATTTTTAAAGGTACAGACACAGAAACAGCCTGTTCTGAGCAGGGCTGAAAAAGAGGGGTTTATAGACATGATCAGATACAGGATCAGAGTGGATTTAGAACAAGAAACTTGCTCCTCAAAACACACATGTTTTGAGGAGCTCTGAGACTTATTTAAACTGAAGAAGAGGAGGAGGATATGTCACCTTTAAAGCCTCTGTTGTGTTTCTTCTCCTCAGGCCTTACTGGATGTAGCTGCTAATGAAGGCTGGCTGGTGACGGCCATCAGCATCATTAACCTGGTGCAGATGATCATTCAGGGCCGCTGGCTGCACGACTCCTCACTTCTGACTCTGCCACACATTGAACAACAAGATCTCCATCTGTTCAGGTATACACACCACCACAGCTACACCTGGGGGGGGGGGCACCATATGGGATTAGAGGGAAACTGCGTCTGTTAAGCCAGAAGTCAGTTCTCTTTACCTGGCTAGATCACCATGGTAACTTATTCTATACTCCTAAACTGGACAGTAAATAAATGTGCAAACACACTAGCAGTCACACACGATTTAGTGTTCACAACCAACCAGGAGCATCCAGACCTGCTTGTCACAGTGTTGAATCATTTTGTGCAAACTCAATAAAAATGTTGGGTAGGATTTGTTGTAATGACCACGATCTCTCTCTCTCTCTCTCTCTCTCTCTGTCTCTCTCTCTCTCTCTCTCTCGCTCTCTCTCTGTCTCTCTCTCTCTCTGTCTTTCTCTCTCCCTCTCTCGCTCTCTCTCTCTCTCTCTCTCTCTCTCTCCCTCTCTCTCTCTCTGTCACCCTGCAGGAAATGGGCAAACAGGAAGGGGAGGAGCGACGGGGGAGGCTTCAGCGGGCCAATCGAAGGACTCCCTGAGCTGATTGCTGCCTGCAGGGGAAAAGAAAGTGTTTTCACTTCTATCATCGGCCAAGAGCTGCAGTCAAATCAAATCGCACAGGTAAGAGCTCTCTGGGGAAGAGTGTCTGTTGATTCAGTTTGTTATGCACTTATGAGAGTTCCTGCTACAGTTGTCAAAAAGTTTCATATTTTTCAATATAGCAAGTGTTTTGAAATACCTCTGTGGTTGTTGATGATCCATTGAATCAAAGAGAAACTACAGATCTTAAATCATATTTTGATAAAAGGTAAGAAAGAAAAAAATCAAGAGAGCAGCGTCTTAATTGCACAAATACAAAAATCTGGTATTTTACCCCCCCCCCATAATGGTCCTTCTCTCATCAGTGAGGTGACACGAGCAGTCTAACACTGTGCTCCCAGATACCTCCAGGATCCCCAATTATACCTCCATTGATGGGGTTTACAGCTCCTATTTAAGTGCTAATTGCTGCAGTAATGAGAGTGTCCGGGCACCGCGGCAGGCCCTGTGGCTTCACCCAATCAGTGTTCCCGCTCTCCTCCATCCCCATCTTTACTCCCTCGCTGTCCCCGCCCCCCCGCAGTGTGGAGGCCTCTCTAATTAAATAATTAGATGTGCAGCAGCGTTTCTGTCTGACTCGCTCAGGGAGAGTAATCCTCACATAAATAGCTTTTGCCGGGTGAATCAGAGAGGCTTTTCTCCTCCTGGCTGTCAATTCACACACACACACACACACACACACACACACACCTTATTCCCCCAGTCCTTTTTTCTGTCCCTCTCTCTCCTCGTGTCTTCTTCATGGTGGGGCTTTTGCATTGAACCAAATGTTAAATCCTCATAAAAACACTTAAGAGGCTCCTAAGACTTACTGTACACGAGCTGATGGAACCTCCACTTAAACCTCTTCATTCCTTTTTTCACTTTCTGAGCACCAATTTCACGTCATCTCAAAGAACAGTCTTCCTGTTTTTACCACTCTGAATTTATTCAAAACATCAACATTTTTCACCTCAGGGCACCTCATTCATTCCTCGACACAAACACCCCAATCTGTGTTCACATTTTAATACCGGATGTTTCTTGGTGGCTAATGTCAAATTTAATTTAACACAAATTTCAATTCAAACTAATGGGCTACACTCAAATTAGGAAAACTCTCAAATGGAAAAAATCACATCCTTATATCAGGAGAAATGATGTCAAAGTGGTTAGCTGAGTGTGGCTAACATTAGCAATGCTAGCACCACCAGCCTTTGGCCCTCCCTGCAGGTCAACGCCCACATACCCGAGCTAAATGTGGTAATGCATCGCTCTGGTAGTTATCCCTGTTTGAACTGACACAGCCTACATACAATATTATCACAACTTTTTACATCAAACCATGCTGCTTCTACGAGAAGCTAGCTGTTCACTGTGCTTGTTTACATCAAGGTAGTAGAGCGGGGGAGAGAAAGTCTAATAACAGGAGCTTCTATCCTAACATGCCACTCATCACCTGATGACTAACTGTGTTCATGTAAACACGTGGGGAGCAGCAGAACTCCCTGCAGGTCTAATATAATCATATAACCATACACTCCCACAGCTGCCATGTCGCTGTGACTTCCCGCTCAGGTTGGGACACCTCTCATTGTTGGGACACCTCTCATTGTTGGGACACCTCTCATTGTTGGGACACCTCTCATTGGGACTCCTCTCATTGTTGGGACACCTCTCATTGTTGGGACACCTCTCATTGGGACTCCTCTCATTGTTGGGACACCTCTCATTGTTGGGACACCTCTCATTGGGACACCTCTCATTGTTGGGACACCTCTCATTGTTGGGACACCTCTCATTGTTGGGACACCTCTCATTGGGACACCTCTCATTGGGACACCTCTCATTGGGACACCTCTCATTGTTGGGACACCTCTCATTGGGACACCTCTCATTGGGACTCCTCTCATTGTTGGGACACCTCTCATTGGGACACCTCTCATTGTTGGGACACCTCTCATTGGGACTCCTCTCATTGTTGGGACACCTCTCATTGTTGGGACACCTCTCATTGGGACACCTCTCATTGTTGGGACACCTCTCATTGTTGGGACACCTCTCATTGTTGGGACACCTCTCATTGGGACTCCTCTCATTGTTGGGACACCTCTCATTGGGACACCTCTCATTGTTGGGACACCTCTCATTGGGACACCTCTCATTGTTGGGACACCTCTCATTGGGACACCTCTCATTGTTGGGACACCTCTCATTGGGACACCTCTCATTGGGACTCCTCTCATTGTTGGGACACCTCTCATTGGACTCCTCTCATTGTTGGGACACCTCTCATTGGGACACCTCTCATTGGGACACCTCTCATTGGGACACCTCTCATTGGGACACCTCTCATTGGGACTCCTCTCATTGTTGGGACACCTCTCATTGTTGGACACCTCTCATTGGGACACCTCTCATTGGGACTCCTCTCATTGTTGGGACACCTCTCATTGGGACTCCTCTCATTGTTGGGACACCTCTCATTGTTGGGACTCCTCTCATTGTTGGGACACCTCTCATTGTTGGGACTCCTCTCATTGTTGGGACACCTCTCATTGTTGGGACTCCTCTCATTGTTGGGACACCTCTCATTGTTGGGACTCCTCTCATTGTTGGGACACCTCTCATTGTTGTCCTCTTGCTGTTGTGATCCAGGTTTTTAATCATGTTAACCTGATTTCAACCCCTCTCTCCTCAGGCCTGGTCCTTCCTCAGCAGTCTCCCGGTGCTGGAGGTGGACATGAGTGTGAAGGGCTGGTGGGAGGAGAGCCAGGAGCAGACGGAGCGCCGCCTCCCCGCAGCCAGAGCCAACCTGAGGGAGGAGAGCAGCTGGCTGGACGTCCACGCTGACCAGGAGTACGTCCTGCAGGTGTCTCTGAGACGCATCAACCAGGGCCAGCAGAGGGTGAGAATGCACAACAGCAAAACCTCCTGTTATAGAGACTGTGGATATGATTCAAATAAAGAAATAACAAATGTTTTTATGAGGAAGTAAAGATTTAGGTATTGTTCCTCTGGAAACAAATCTTTCAGTGATTGAAGTGGAAGCTGATCGTCCTCCAGCTGAGTCTGCAGTTTGTTATCTCCTGAAACATTGTTCTTTGGTTTCTTTGCATGACGGCTGCAGATGTGTGGGAGAAAGATATACTGATCCTCAGATGTTGTCGACACTTAAAGGGCTCCTCTGGTGATTTAGGAAAGTTAAGGAACTGCTTTGAACTGTAGCTTAAACAAACCGATGTAGCTGCAGATTGTTAGCGTGTAACATCTGACCGATCTGAAGCCGCTTCATGCTCCAAACTTCAGAACGTTCTCTTTTGTGAGTTTGTCCGTTTAGCAGCGTTTTATTTACGTCATGTCTCACCTCCTGTGGAATTTTACGAGTGCATATGTGTGAGAAAAAAAAATGTCCTCGTCTGCTATTTCAGAGGAAGCAGGACAGTAAGGCCCAGGCTCCCCGGTTCCCCAAGTCCAAGGATGAAGGCTGGTTCCTGGTGGTGGGGGAGGTGGATCGCAGGGAGCTGCTCGCCGTCAAGCGGATCGGCTATGTACGCAACCGCACAACCGTGTCGGTCGCCTTTTACACGCCGGAGAAGACGGGAAGGTAAGCAGCAGCTGTGCATGAACACGGACTCTTAAAAGAGAGAGTGAGAGGAAAGAAGTCGGCTCCAGGTCTCAATCATTAGTCAGACACTTTCGATTAGAGGAAGACCATAAACTCCCAAAACTACATTTCACAATTATTGAAGAGTTAAAGATGAGGCTACATGATCCATGCTGATGAACTCATTGATCATTATGGAGATGTAAGAGGGGATATTTATACACACAGGATGGGAGTCCATCTGTTGTTTCTTTCAGCTTTATTTTCACTACGGCTGTCAAACGATGAAACATTTTACTTGTGATTAATCGCAAAGTTTCAATAGTTAGTCACGATTAATTGCATTTTTAATCGCATGTCTGAAGAGACACAGGAAACATTGAGAGGAGTGGGTCATCATCATCATCATCATCATCATCATCAAGCTTTATTTAACTTCTCGGAGAGATAATTTACAATGACGCCGAGAAAACATACATAAATGATAAACAACGAGAAATGAGATAAAGCTACTACAGAAAATAAAATCAATAAAATATAAACACTAAAATAATTTAAAAGCTTGAAATGACTACAGTGATAAGTCAGTAATTCAAATCAAATAAAACAGTTAAAAATAATATTTCTAAAGTGTCCATAAGAGATAAAAGTGCTCAAGTTCAGGTCCTGTTGTAAAATGTTCCAGGAGTTTGCAGCACTAACACTGAAAGCAGTTTTCCCAGATCAGTCTCTGGAACCTGGAGAACAGCTCTCTCTCTCTCTCTCTCTCTCTCTCTCTCTCTCTCTCTCTCTCTCTCTCTCTCTCTCTCTCTCTCTCTCTCTCTCTCGCTCTCTCTGGAGCAGGGTTCAGATAGATAAAAAGATGCCAGTGGTTATTGTGTCTCTCAGTGAGGGAGGGCCAACCAACTTTATTATGAAGAATGCAGTGGGCCGAGGTTTGGTTCGAACCCACAGCCGCTGCCACGAGGACTACAGCTTCTGTACATGATGCATGCAACGTAACCGCTAGGCTACTTGTTGTTTAAGGCTATATGTCAGTATGCAGTCATAGAAGACCCCGCCTTCAGATGTGTATTAAAAGTGCTCAGTCCTCGTCTCAATGTCCCACCATGTGCACACATAAACCAGTCTGTGGACTCTTCCTCTCACTGGTCTGCACAGTCAGTGATTGAGCACTAGTGGTGTGTTGATGGAGCTCCTGTGTTACTGAACAGTGTCTCAAAGTAGTGACTGCATACTTCATCAACTGGTAGGGATTCTTTTGTTCTCCTCTCTTTTTTATTTAATATTTAATACACAGCATGCAGCACGAACTGTCACAGGTACGACACAGGTCATGCACTACTTTCAGTCATAAATGAATGAGAGAAACAGAATTATCCCTAACCGTGATATCAAGCTACAACTTCATGGTCTTCTCTGAGTTTATACTGTGAAGACGTCCGATCTCCTGATGTGAAGGACGTCAGTGAAAGAGTAACTCAGACAGTCCTGAAACCTTCAGGAGTGCATGTCAACAATAGTCAAAACAGCCAACAGTCTTTTTTTTTCCTCAGTCGTTTCCTGCAGCAGGTCGCTGTAGTTTTGGTAAACATTACACAAACAGCAGGAAAGTGTTGTGTTGGGACTATTTCCTGCGGTGGAAGAATTCAAGGCTTGTTACAACCAATCATTTGTCTGAATAATCTTCAGCTGTGTGGTGTCAGTAGGATTCTTTTTACTGCTCCTGATTTAGTCAGAGCCTCCCCGAAATGGAATACTAAACATGTTTGATATTAAAGGTTGCAGATCGAGCGGCCTCCGACAGAATACCTTTAACAGCCAATGAGAGACAGACAGGGAAGCGTCACCAACCGGTTGTTGCATACTTTAACAGCTCACCTCCAGCTCACGCTGCAGAGTATAAACCGCACCGTGCAGTAAAGTCCTTCAGTCAGGATTTCACCCAGATTCTTTTTCTTCTATTTATTTTTTTTGTCTTCTTGAGGACACTCTAACTTGTGTTCTGTTTTCAGGTGTATCTACACGCTGTACCTGATGAGTGACAGCTACCTGGGGCTGGACCAGCAGTACGACATCCACCTGAACGTCACACCTGCCAGCATCGCTGCTCAGGTCAACACAGAGGTGACTCAGTGAGCGGCCTGACCCTCAGCTGAGCAAAAGAAGAACGATCATCAGCAGCCAAACTTCAGACGTGTTTGTTTTTATGTTTTTCATTCACAGCTTTGTATCAGATTCAGTTATTATGTCCTGAAGTTTATTAAAGCTTCTGAGGAAGACAACAAACGGAACATCTTTTCCTTCTCTCGTTTACATGTTTACAGTGATTTGAAGGAGAATTCTTCACTTCCTGTCGGTCTGAAATAAATAAATGATTCTATAAAGATGAACCTCTCTGTCACAGTCATGATACTGTTCTCTCAGAGCAGCCAGACTCACTGACAAAACCGGAAAAGTTGCTTTACAGAACACAGGAGCTGCTCGTCTTATCTAACGTTCATTCATCTAATAAATGAGAGGAGATTCACTGCTCCAGGTTTAGCAGATAAATCCACACAACAATACAAAACACAAAGAATCAATAAAATATGATGAAGAGCTGGTCAAACCAAATTACATCAAACAACATTCCAAGCTAAAACTAACACCCTCCCAAGCCTCCACCACACCATAAACACACACACACACACACACACACACACACACACACACACACACACACACACACACACACACAACACACACACACCGAACACTGTCTTCTATGTACAGTAAGAAATCATGAGAGGGAAATGGATACCACAGACAACTATCTAATGCTCACGATTCCTTCTTCAAGATCTTTTTTTGCCTTCACAGGAAAATATTTCAAAGTGTGTTGAGATGTTTAAACCTGCGGGGAGCTTTGTTTAACTCCTTTATGTCTCGAAAAGTCGTTTTCTTACAGCGACACAGCTTTTAAGTTCTACTGTTACTCTTTTTTTAACGGTTTTGATTTAGCCCATCATTATTTTACGACCACATTTCTTCCTTGAGGATGATGCCTCACCTCTACCCCTCCAGGTTTTATTAAAGCGACAGACGGTTCTTCACCTGGTAGTAGTTCCAGTCTTCTCCTTGTTTGTTTTCTTTACTTAATGCAGAGTAACATTTTTCCCGACCATGGGATAACTCTTCTGACTTGATTATTAAAGTTAACGAGGCGCTCTTCTTCGCATCAGTTCAGGTTGAATAACTCGTCACCGGCTGAAACATATGAATCACTGCAGGAACAGTAATGATCCAACCGGAGGCTTTTAACTGTTGGTTTAGTTTAATCCAGCTGGAAACTTTATTTTTTGGTCTTTTTTTTATAATAATAGAAGAATCTATGGTGAGTTTTTACAGAAATGTTTTTTCTTATTTTATTTTGACAAGTTTAAAAAAAAGTCTCCAAACACCACAAACAAGACGCAGAGGTGAAGTTCAGTGACTGAACGAGTGGAGGTGACATAATCCCATCTCTATAGCCCCGCCCCCAACACACACACACACACACACACACACACACACACACACACACACACACACACATTACCTGGGTTAATTCATTGTATTTATTTAACTTTACTTCACTAAGATAAAAAAAAAAGTGGTTGAGATTAAAAATGTGTTTTCAGGAGTCAAAATGCAGAAGCACAAATAATAACAGAGTTTCTGACAAACAACAAGCAGCCGGACGTACAAATATAAATCAGGATATATAATTATTAAACATTTTAAGACACAAAATAAAACATTGAATCAGCAAATATATTTGTCAAGATCAACCACGACCATAAATCTATAAAGCTATATGTTTAACATCCTCTTCAAATCATCCAATCAGAGCAGCTCGTTAAGTCTCAGCTCTTTGGGAGCAGCACACTGAAACGCCTTCTCTGACTTTTGGAACAGACAGAGAGAAGAAAATGTTCTGAGATCGAAGATTAAAAGTCCCTGAACTCTTCTGACTGATGGAGGTCAGAGGGTAGGGAGGAAGTCGATCTTAAATATGTTGATGGATTACATTAGGTTAGAGATGAATCCACTATGAGGCGATAAATTATAACAATAATCAGAATTTATGTGAGATTATTTAAAATAGAAAATCAAGATGAGATCATTAATTATTGATCCCCATTAAGAGTAAACTCAAAAAGACGAGAAGAAGAAGAGTGCAGATAAAATAAGAATAGAAGAAAAATACAAATACAACAATTAACTAGTAATTATTAAATAAACTATACACCCATTCACTGCCAAACAACAACAACACACACTATAGGCCTTCAGGACATTCAGATGTGTTGTGCAGTTTGTGGAAAGTTCAATTTAAAGTGACAACGTTTGAGATCAGGAGACAAAATCCAGAAATACATTTAAAAAATAAACATCTATAGTATCCTAATTTGACGTGAATAAGAGAATCTCATCCAGGCCTCCTGCAGACTGCTCCTCTCTGAAACATTAAACAGGTGTTTTAAACTTTGGTTTTTAAAATCTGCTTCAATAGGTTTAATAATAAAGATAAGACAGCGACAGATTCTCGATCGTTGCTTTCTGTTTTCTTTTTGTGACTCTCATTACAGTTTAGACAGCGTCTCTAAAGTATCCCGGATGATGGATCCCAACATAGGCCTACCGACCGGCCGCACGAGAGGGAGAGAGACATGCATCTTCATCTTCATCTTCATCTTCATCATCATTAGTGCTTCATGTCTTGGAGAAAAGAAGTCTATATTAGGATTTATGTTTGCTTTCAATCAGAATGAAAACTGTTCAACAGCATCATTCACCAAATTATTTTTAGTGAATTAGAGAACTGGGAGTCAAAATGCGTTTCTAATTATTCATAGTTTTTATAATATTTATTCAATAAAGTTATTATAGAAGAGAAAGTGTGACGTATCCAAAACGCCAACGTTAAAGGAAATATTGAAAACAAATCAAAGAACTCTTTTCTTCCATGTTAAGTGATGGATGAGTAATACATCAGTAATATTTAGTCCTGAAGTTGATGGCATAACATGCATATAGATTTATGTATTTTAGCTAAAGTGTTAATGTGAGAAAATAATCAGCAAGAACATTTAAAAACGTTTTCTGAGTAGATAAAAGGATAATAAGTGTCGTCATATTCTCTCTCTCTGTAATCTGGATAACATGAATCACTTCTTCACAAATAAAAATAAAAAAAGTGAAGTTTTATTTCCTACAAGTTCTTAATAATCTCTTCTGATGTTGTAGCCCAGACCTCGTGGATGTGTCGTGAAGAAGGCCATGCAGGGATGTCTTCAAATGAAACGTCAACATGTTGGAGTGTTTTCAGAATCTTATTCTTCTGTTTAGTGTAAATCATTGAGAAGCCTCTTGTCTCATCTGGGAAACGATTTAAACATAATGTAAGTGTTTAACACCAAACTCCATTTCAAAACTGACGACTTTAAAAGCAAACAAATATCGACAAATGTGCCTGAACTTCTTTAGGAGAAATGTTCCAGTCTGCTTGTTTGTACTTATTATTTAAAAAGAAAAGTTTTAATTTGTATTTTTAAGTACATTTCGTATTTTAATATGTTAAAAAGCCCTTAAGGTGATATATCGTTACAGCAAATGGGATTGTTATTTATGCCGAATGGAAGATAATGTCCAACAGATTATTAAATTATCTTAAATTAATCTTTATTTTATTTATTTATTTGTTAATAGACAATAAAATATTAAAACTTACATATATTTAAAGGGGTTCCGCATGTTTCACCGTTTCTACACTAAAGCGAACGAGCTCCAGAGGTGAACACTTCCACCAGCCAATCCCCGTTCATCTTACAATGCGTCATTGTTCAGAGGAGCCAATGCTAACCCACGCGCGGTATCCAATCGTCCAATCGGAGTGGAGATGCCATAAGTGGGCGGGTCTTTCCCAGCCTGGATCACACAGGAGGCTGCGAAGCTGCTACTATGAACAAAATCAGTCAGACTGAAGAAATGTGGGAGCCGGGCTTTCTGGAGAATCAGTCCGGAGATAATTAAACTCAACAGGCGTCAGTTCAGAGGAGAGTTGTCTACGATGAGGTGAGTGAATAACTAGGTAGGATAGTTGTTCATATAAATATTTAATTCTTGTGTAAAGACTCAAACAAGTGTCCTGATTGCGCTTTTTCTGGCTGTTCGATCCGTTTTCTTTTTAAGAGATGGATTAACCCAAATTAAAGATCTGTCTGGTTCTTTTAGTCAGCCTAATGTCTGCATGTGTCCCTCCTTACCTTTTACTTCAGGTATGATGGATCCAAGTGTGCGGTGAGCCCTCCAACAGGCTGACCAAAACGCAAAAAATAATTAAAAAAAATAGTCCTGCAGAAATCCAGGAATTACGCATCCTGCTCGTCGATATCCAACAGGAACATCTGGAGATATGGGAGTGTGCTCACGCATCTGCAGCTGTGGATTTTAGGCCGACCGAGCAGAGGAGGAGATTTAACCGTGAGGGAGCTCCCGGTAGGATGAGACAACCGGGCAGAGAGTGACGGCAAAACCGACGGAACTGACAGAGAGAGGATAAAAAAAAAAAAATACTGACACAAAGATGAAGGAGAAATCTAAAAACGCGGCCCGGACTCGACGGGAAAAAGAAAACAGTGAGTTTTATGAACTGGCCAAACTGCTGCCGCTGCCCTCCGCCATCACCTCCCAGCTGGACAAAGCGTCCATCATCCGGCTGACCACCAGCTACCTGAAGATGAGGATCGTGTTCCCTGAAGGTGAGAGCTGCTGTGCAAACTGTGAATCACATCATGCAAACAACACACACACAAGACTTTCACTTAGCCTCAGTAACATCAGCTAGATCGAGGAGAGAATCGGATATATTAAAGCCTCTAATATTAAAGCCCATCAGAGAAAGGCTCTGATTGTTTCACATTACCTTGTTGTAGTTTGGATTCTGTTTCCTTTGAATTGTCGACCAGGAAAAGTGGCTATTTTATTTTATTTTATTTTATTTTATTTTATTGATTAAAAAATATTCCGCATTTTCCCAAATTTTTAAAATGTTGTTTTCCTTCCAATAGTTCATTTTCTGACATTATTTTCTGTTCTCCCACGAAATAAAATAACTCAATTTAAACATTCACTGTGATCATTTTTAAAAGAAGCTATTTTTTTTAACTTGAGAGTTTTGTAATTTAATGTCAAAGAAAGTGGAAACAACATTTAAGCCAAATTATTAATCTGAATCATGAAGGAAAAATGTGTTATACATTATTTTATT